AAAAAAAAAAAATGAAACAAGAAAGAACACAATACTAATGAGTACAACATTTGCCAGTGATTAATTTAAGTAAATTGATATTTCTTTAGTTGATTATTTATAAATAAATAAATAAAAAAAAAAAAATAATAAACAAGAAACAAAGAAACAAACCAAAAAGAAGAAAGCAAAAGAAGCATATTATATATATATATATATCATTACGTAATCATACGTTTTGCTTTAAACAAGCTAATAATTGTATAAGTGAAGAAAAATATGTGTGAATAAAATGTCGAAAAAGTATGAATTTATTCATATATAGTGAGTCCTTTCCTTGAATATCGATTAATCGATGCGTATGTGTAATTTTCTCATTTTACGATGAATATTTTTCATGTCTAATTAATACAATTGTATAATATATAGATATACAAGGGTAAAAGGGTGTTTCATATTATGTGGGACACGTTACAGGAATAATGAAAATAGAAATACAGAAAATAATGAAGAAAATTTGTATAAACTGATATCTCATTTACATTTACAATTTTATACAGCATTTCTTGTTTCAATGTTAATAACCACTTTTGTGTTTGAATAATTTGCAAAAATTTATCTTCATAGTTAGATAATCAAATTTGTTTGGAACCTTTTTGTATACGAGTTCGAATTCTTTTTTTTTTACTGTTGGCCAATGATTGTCAAATGCATTAATTTTTTTTTTTTAAATGAGACCACATAAATAATAATTTAATTGTAATTTTTAAAAGACAGTTAATAATAGAACACATTTTCATATATTTTTCATGAAGATAAGTGTCATCGTAGATTATTGAAATGTAAAAGTGGCTATAAATTTGACTAAAAAAAAAATAAAAGATCAAATAAGATCAAATTTTCATATGAAGTCTTTTTTTCGTTGCTTTTTGTAAACAACATAGTAAATATTGGGATCACTGGCAGAAGCGTGGCGTAGCAATTCGACCTATCTACTCTAATTTTGAATTTAGCCACCAGGTAGCGTATTCAAGTGCTAGAGATCCCAAGGGATCTCTGGCAGGGGCGTGGCGTAGCAATTCGAACTATCTACTCTAATTTTGAAATTAGCCACCAGATAGCGTCGTATTCAAGTGCTAGAGATCCCAAGGGATCACTGGCACGGGCGTGGCGTAACAATTCGAACTATCTACTCTAATTTTGAAATTAGCCACCAGATAGCGTCGTATTCAAGTGCTAGAGATCCCAATACTATTTATTCCTGAACTGAATACCATATCTTACGAAATACCCTGTATATAATATGTGTGTGTGTATTTATTCGAAGAATCGTTCTCTCTGAAAATAAAAAAAAAAAAAAAATGAAAAAAATGAAACATTTGCAACTCTTCAGCAAATCTATATTAATCTTTACGAAGTAAGTATATCTTAAAATTCGTTCAAGTGATTATTATCTAAGCGAACAATTCTATAAGTAACCATAAATTATAATAATAATAATAATAATGATAATTATAATAATAATAATAATAATAAATATCAAATGAGAAAACGATGTATTCGATAATAATATTCTACAAATGCAATACTTTGTCATTTTAATCGTAACTTATACATGTGTATATCTATAAAAAAAAAAAAAAAAAGAGCACGAATTTATGCGATTCAATACTTATCTATGCGTTTATCGAAAAAGCATGTTATACATATTTAAAAAAAAAAAAGAACAAAACTAATAAAAAAAAAAAAAACAAACAAAAACAAATATATACTCTTATTAAGTATATAACAATATATTATATTGGGTTGTCCTGAAAGTTCGTGCCAATTTTGACGAAAGATTGAAATGCAACCCATTTAAATTGTTTTTGTTTTGTTATATATTTATTACACAATAAAAATATAACTATATATATATATATGTAATATAATACAATAATTTTAAAATTTCGTGCTTACAGAACTTTTTTCAGGTTTTTTTTGTAGCAAAAAAAAAAAAAGACTTTAATGCCATCTATCGAAAATCGACACGAACTTTCCGCACAATCAAAGATTTATGATATCAAATGAAGATATTTAACTTTGAAAGGCTGTTATTGATCATTTCTGATATAATTAATCTGATAAGGAACGATATAATATGAAAAAAAAAAAAAAATAAAGAAAAACTGGATTTAGAAACGTGTTACGTGGATTAGCTCGAAAGCAAAAAAATAAGAAGAAACGAATGATGATTGAATGAATACGCCATTTTGTTTCTGCTTCAATCGCGTTTTCAATTAATTCATTAATTCATTAATATTGATTGTTTTTATTATTTTAAATTATCTTCACCAACACTGACAAAGAAAAAAAAATCAACTTTTCAATATTATTATAATACACATTTTTTAATCTCAACTATCTTATGGAAAACGAGTTTTCTCAAATTAATTAATTTGATCATTATTCAAGTATTATATCATAAGCCACAATTTATGTTTCATTTGATGACCATATTTTTCTTATAAGTCCATCATTACCTATTCTCCATTTTAACATACATACACATGCTGGTTTCTATCCCCATCCCCCCAAACACACCCCCATTATTCCTTTTCTATTTAATACAATGCACGTTGAGACCTACACGCATTTTTCACCAATAAGAAAAGAATTAATTTATATTTATCTTGTCTTTATATACATATTTATTTCTTAAACGTTTTTATATATTAATTTATTAATTAATTAATTAATTATTTAATTGTTGTCGCGATTATTTTCGCACAAAAATTGATAATTATTTAAATAAATTTAGATGGGCTCTGAAATAATGTTTTCAAAGTAGCAAGCTTGTTACGTTTAGTCACGTGCTCGTGAATTACAAAAAAATACAAATAAATAAAATAAAATTCCAATTATACACATATACATATACATACATGTATATATATATACATGTCATACATAAAACAAATCACAAAATCGCCTTTTCGCTTTCAGTGGTTGTTTGTGTTCAATATCATTATCTTATTTTATTACAAACAAACAAAGCTTATATCTTATTAGCTATTATCATCCTAATATTACAGGAATTTTGTATAAATAACTGTTTTAATTTGTATTAATAATTTAAAAAAAAAAAAAATGAAATTATAAAAAGTAAATAAAAAGGGAAGAAAATTAAAAGTCGAGCTTCAAAACAATAAACAAAAAAACAAAAAATCATAACCGCGTTGTAAATTTGAATATGCGATCGTGACTTACACATATATATATATATATATATATATATATATATATATATATATATTGGCACACCCTATATAAGGACACGTTTATGCACAATTATACAAGAAACGTTCTCATTTCTAAAATATATATATATATATATGTTTCATTCAAAAATATTTATTTAAAAAAATTACAAAATAATAGTCACGAATGCATAACAATAATCCTACACGTAGAAAAAAAATAATATAACAAATAATGTTACAATATTTCAATTTGTTATGTTCATTACTTTCCGAAAATTGTCCATTTATTTTATGTTTCATTTTTGTTTTTGTTTGTTCTCCTCATTTCCTTTATCGCATACACATACACATACACACAAATTCATTAAAAAGATAGGGGACAAACACACAAAGTCCACACATATTACCCACACATAAACACATGCAGAGAGTATTGCGCATTTAGAAAACAATACATGCATTATAATTGCAAAAAAAAATAAAATTAAAAAAAAAATAAAAAAGGCTTTTGTTTATTATGAGGAATCAGGCGGGTCACGTGGCTATTAATGTGTTGCAGGGGGGGTGGGACGCAATTGGAAGCATGTTGGCGATACAACTGGTCAAGTGGTGATGCAGGGTCCAGGATGTTTTTCCTGCAGACTCTGTGGAAGCGTTTACAAGCACCTTGCTTCGCTGACCCAGCACCTCGAAGTGCATCGCAACCAGACGACCTGCATCCTATGTCACACCACTCTCAGTCGTAGAACCGACCTGCGACGTCATATGCGTCTGAAACATAACATGCAATGGCAAAAAACGATGCAGAGGCAACGCAGTCCGAAAAAAAAATTGGACTCGTAATTTTGAATGACCACCCACCACCTCCTCGTTAGATTTTTTTTTTTTCCTTTTCTTTTATTTACTTTATTTAATTTTATTTTATCGACGCGATTTCATTATTTTTGTCTTTTTCTTTGTTTTTTCTCTTTATCCTTTCTTTTCTATTTTCATTGAAAAAAGAAATTAAAAAAAAAAACAAATCGACGCGTCGGAAGAAAAATATTTTTATTTTTTTTTTTTTTTTCATGTAGTATTGGGATCTCTGGCAACAGGGGCGTGGCGTAACAATTCGATTTATCTACTCTAATTTTGAATTTAGCCACCAGATAGCGTATTCAAGTGCTAGAGATCCCAAGGGATCTCTGGCAGGGRCGTGGCGTARCAATTYGAMCTATCTACTCTAATTTTGAATTTAGCCACCAGATAGCGTATTCAAGTGCTAGAGATCCCAAGGGATCTCTGGCAACAGGGGCGTGGCATAGCAATTCNATCTACTCTAATTTTGAATTTAGCCACCAGATAGCGTATTCAAGTGCTAGAGATCCCAAGGGATCTCTGGCAACAGGGGCGTGGCATAGCAATTCGATTCATCTACTCTAATTTTGAATTTAGCCACCAGATAGCGTAGTCAAGTGCTAGAGATCCCAAGGGATCACTGGCAGGGGCGTGGCGTAACAATTCGAACTATCTACTCTAATTTTGAATTCAGCCACCAGATAGCGTCGTATTCAAGTGCTAGAGATCCCAATAAATTTTTCTTTGTTTTTTTAAGTTCATTATACTCAATCCTCTTTTATAAATACGATTTATTCGTACGTAATTCGTATTCGTGATTGAAATGAAACAGTGACGCTGAAAAAAATGTCTGCTACCTATAATGGCGACTGCTGTATCTTATATTATAAATTTATTTGCAACTTTTACCTATATTGTGGAAAATTTGTTAGAAAAATATCGCGTTTTATAAGAGGATTGAGAAAATATTGATGTTTCACCATCCATATTATTCGTAATAACTCGTTGGATATTTTTCTTTTTCAAATACTTGTCGACCGATTCAATTCGATTGATCCAATTATATTTGATAGGATGGTTATATATTTAACAAAATATTAAAAATTAATAGTAGATTGGTAGATTAGTTTATCCTAATCGTGATATAAATGTCTATTGAAAAGAAAAAAAATAAGAAAAAAAAACAAAAACAAAAAAAATAAGAAAAAAGGAAAAGCAAAAAAAAAAAAAAATAAAGAAAGAAAGAAAGAAAGAAAAAAATAATTACACAAATGCGTAACACGCTTGCTTTCATCTTCTCTAGTCACCGGATGACTGATATTAGAAAATAATTCATTCTAATGAATAATTTTGTGATCTCCTTTTTTTTTTTTTTTAGACCTTACGTTATTATAGTTTATTTATTTACATATTGTTATATTAATATTTCAAAGTGTTCCTTTTCATTTCATCAACCACATTGCTCTATCTCTCTCTCTCTCTCTCTCTCTCTCTCTTTTGTTATTTTATTTTATTTTATTTTTCTAACAAATCACATAAAAAAATAATCACTTTTATTTAGTATTGTTATTATAAAATTAAGAAAAAAAAAAGAAACATCCTTAACAAAAAAAGGGGGAGGGGATGAAATTATGCCCTCATCATCTAATCCGCCATATTTGTTTCCAATAAACTGTTTGCAATCGTTAATCGATATCATAATCGTTGACCATCAAAATCGTCTCGTTCGAATGGAAAAAAAAATGAAATAAAAAAAAAGAAAAATAAAAAAGATCGATAACAGATTATTTTGTCAATCGCAAAAGATCGAATGACAACAACAACAACAACAACAACAAAAGAAATACAAACACAAGTTTCTACCTTTTCGTAAAAAATGGCGTTTCACGTATTTCACACTCGCGCATATACACATAAATATTACATACACCACACATACAAAAAAACCAAAATACAATGATAACCAAGAAGAAATAAGAATAACGGAAAAATAAATGAAATAGAAGTGAGAAAAAAATAAAAACAGTTTAAGAAAAAGAAAAAAGTTAATAAACATAATTAACCACCCCCCTTAAGTTGCAAGTAGCTTGAGTTAACTCGAGCGGGCGTTGTACAACGTTGAGCCAAAAATTGTTCCTTGAGGGGTTTAAAAAAAAAAAAAAAAAAGCCACACAATAAAAAAATAAAAATAAAAATAAAAATAAAAATAAAAAAGGGTTTTCTTTGTGATCGACGATGGTGTTCTTAGCTGCTTCGAAATCACCGTTAAAATAGACAGTGCCTTACACGCGGCTATCTAATTTCCACGTTTGACGATATACATACCATTGATCCTTTATCAAATAGTTACCATAGTTGAAACATGACACAATTGTATTAAAAGTATAAATTATTATCTAATAGTAATGAATTGTTGTTAACTTTTTTATGTTATCAGCTTTTGCCCTGATCATAATATTATCATCACCTTGCGTAAAAAAAAGAAAAACAAAAAACAAAACAAATATTAATCCATTAGCTGCCACGATTGATCCTTATTTGAGAATTTCGAAATTTTACTTACACCACCACTCGGTTTTATGTTGGACTGTATGAAAAAATGGCATAATAATAGCTACTTTTGTATGTATAGGATAATAATAAAAGAAATAAGTAATAGTCTCTTATTGGTTTCTTTTTTTCGTGCAACCACCAACAATCCCCATATTTTTTAAGACTTTAAAAAAAAAAAAATAATATAAATATTTCTGTAAGCAAAAAAACTAATTTGGCAGGCAGTTAATGGGTTAAACAAAAAGAATATAATACAAGAAAAATAAAATAGTAAAATAGAGTAAAATATGACAAATAAGAGAAAATAATACAAATATTCAAGAAAACAAAGTTACCACCGAGAGAAATGACGACGAATATTTCTCTAATAAACTCGACGAGTCGACCCTAATAATATAATTGGGGAAATAAAAACAACAAAAACAACAAAAACCATACAAATTTGAATATAATTTCATTAAAATTTGAGGGTTTCGAAAACTTTTTATGTATACGAAAAAAGATTATGCGATGTGTTGTTACATATGTTCGTAAGAGAAAAAAAAAACAATAGATTTATGTTTGACAGTAAAAATGTGAACTTTGAGAAATGCTAATTGAGAAAGAAAAGGTCATGTAAAGTAATTTACAATTAGTCTCTCATTTATAATAATAATAATAAATATTAAGATATATAAATATATATCGTTCCACTTATCGAAACACATGCTTGATCGTAACGCTGTGCATATGTATAAGTCGTTATTAATATATATATATATA